CAATCCTTGACTACAACAAGGGGGTTTGAGGTTCACATTAGCAATCTGACCTGGTTAAACTATGGGCCAGCTGTCCAAGGGAAGGTTTGATTCTGGGTATGGCACATATGCTTATAATCCTAGCATTTGGGAGGCTGAAGCAGGAGGACTGGTGTGAGTTCAAGGCCAGCCTGGACTATATAGCAAGACCTGTCTCAAACACACACACACACACACACACACACACACACACACACACACAACCAGAAAAAGAAAAAGAAAAAAGGGAAGACCTGGGGTTCTCTGCACGGAGGGTGATGGGGGGGGCTGCTCCCATCCGAGTCCAGTCTGCTTTCTTCTCATCTCCTTTAGCCCCTTTACAAGTCTGACCCAGACTGGAGATTCTGAGTTTCTAGGGAGCTGGCTTGGAGGAGGTGCACACCGGAGCTCCGGTGAAGGCCCACAGGCCTGTAGAAGTCACCCTACTTCCCTCAGCAGGAACCCACCCCTCGGTGTGACTGCAGGGTGGTGCCAATGGACGGGAGGGACGGCTCAGACCCTGCCACCCACCTGTGACCCATCGCAAGGCAGCTGCGGCATTTGTGTGCTCCAATTGCACATTGCTCTCTGCTCCCCACCTCACTGGGCTGTGCTGAGGGCTGTGATGGGGCTGAGGGCAGAGGCAGGAGTCACAGCCTCCCTTGGGCTTGGCATGGTCTTGCCCAGCCAGCAGGCGACCCCTGAAACTGGCTTCAGGCCCACAGGATGCTGAAGGGTGTGGGGAGGAGGGAGGAGGCAGCTGGAGACAGTGGGCCTCTGCCCCCACCAACACCTCCTCTGCTCTTCCTCTTGTAACTTTGCCCCCATGTGACTTCTCAGAATCCTGAGGAAGCCAAGGCACAGCCAACTCTGAGGGGTTCGTGTCTTGTGTCTAGGTTGGTGACAGCCAGGCCACTCTCCGAGTCATTGAGACACTGTCTGCCCCGGGTCTTCATCCTCTGATAAAACCTGCCCTGGGGTGGGGACAGTGTCCGTGCCTATGACCCATCTGAGCTGCTGAGCTGATGCTCTCCAAGGGGCTTGTTACCTGGGCCAGGGCCCTTCAGCTTTGAGGAGCACAGAGCCCCAGCTGGAGCAGGCCTGGGAGTGGTGGCCATTGACGAACCATGCTTTGGCCCACTTGTGGCGGGAGTGGGACCTGTTTTGTGAGAGCCCAAGGCCCTCAGAGCTGAGTCCTCTGCTTTGCGCATTTCTTCATGTAGTTTCTGGCCTCAGGCTTAGCAATAGTGTGGCACCTGTCCAGGTGCCAGGAAGGAGCCTGTGGGTTCCCCTAGCCCCGGCTGGTCAGGTGGGCACAGAAGCTGGGCCTGAGAACTGTCTGGCCCTCTAGCCTTGCCAGGTCTGTCCTGGCCACAGGATACTCATTGTTACAGCTCTGGGCCAGGAGGGCACATAGAAGGTGCTGCAGATAAGTATAGTTCAACTGACTTCCAGGTGCCTAAGGAGCCCAGCGAGATGGCACGTCCCTGCTTCAGTGGGAAACAGGCTGCAGATGTGGCGTCGAGGGCGTGTCCATGGAGGAAGGGGGCTGCAAGGACCACCACAAGGTCAACAATGAGGCTGCCCCATCCTTTTAGACTTATGCCTCCCTGCCCCTGCTCCCACCTGCAGTACTGAGCCTGCAGGGAGTGGGCAATCTGTTTTCAGAAACAAGGCTGAGGCAGGAGGATCTCTCCCGAATTCAAAGCCAATCTGGGCTACACAGTGAGTTCAAACTCTTAAAGGAGTAATCACACGTTAAAGACTGGATGAGCAGGCAAACCATGATCTTGGAAAGCCAACAACATGGCACGGGACAGCAAGTGCCCCCAGGGTGGCAGCTTGCAATTTATTAAGAATCGGGTGCCAGGTGCAGCAGCATAGAGCTGTGATCCCAGCACTCAGGGAGGCTGAGGCCGGAGGACAGCAAGTTCCAGCCTAGTCTGGGTAATTTAGCAACTAAGTGAGACCAACACGGGGCTCTTGCTCAGGGTGATGGCCCTGGGTTCAATTCCTAGACTCTGGGAACCTGGCTCCCTTCCGTCTGAGTCACACTGAGCCGGGTAGCCCCGAGGACTCCAGGCACCAGTGACTCACGGTGACGGTGACGCGAGGAGGAGGTTTCCCGAGAAGACAGAGGAAATCTCTTTGTCCTCTGCCATATGCAAAGGCTGTGAACCAGAACTGTGTCTCTCTTTCCCTTTGACTGGGTGGTAGATTCAGATCAGCTCTGCAGCCCACGCGGGCGGGGGATCTCTTTCTGAAAACAAGTTCCCCACTCCCTGCAGGCGCAGCACTGCGGGCGGGCAGGGTGGGGAGGGAAGGATAAAAGGATGGGTGGGCTCCTCGTTGACCTTGTTGTGGTCCTTGCAGCCCCCTTCCTCCGTAGACGCCCCCTGGGCACCACACCTGCAGCCTGTTTCTCACTGAAGCAGGCACAGGGGGCCCGCAGAGCTGGGGCCACAGCCCCTGTCTACTGTGCATGCTGGGGGAGGCCCAGGCAGGCCTGAGAGGGGAGGATCTGGGGGCACTGAAGTGGCTCAGCTGGTAAATCCCAGGGCCTGTCGTCTGGTGGCCTCCGACACAGGACACAGTGATATATGTGGTACCGATTTTTAAAAATAAACTTTACGAGCAAGTCTCTCCTATTTGGGTATTTAAATAGATTCTATTTTTTAAAATAACAGTGACCAGAGAGCCCTTTTAAAATAACTTGTTTCTTTTTTACCACACTTTTGTGGCCCCCCCGTTACAAAAGTATAACCCAACCATGCACACCACTGTGAACGGAAGTGGAAATTCCGCAGGGTGACTGTCCTTGATGGCTTGAAGTGGATCCTTACAGACTTTTTCCTACATACATACACACACTCGTACCCAGAGGCCTTGGTGAGAAGAAAACGAGAAAGTCTGCAGAACAAGGAGATTAAAATTTTTTGTCCTACCTGTTATGCATTTTATGAGTTACACGTTTTAAGATTTTAGTTTTCTTTTTTAAAAAGTGTAGAATAAATGGGAAGAACGAGAAAGTATTATATATAGATTTTACTGACTTCTGTGATGTTCCGTACTTGGATTTTTAAAACTGTATCTCTTTATTGAAGTATGATCTCTAGCTATGTCCATTTATACATCAAAGTCGGCACCCGGGTTGGTAACTGTTTTACAAAGGGAGCACATGAACACTCTGTCCCCCAACTTGATAGTGATCATCCTGCACCAAAGGTAACCGCATCCTGACTTCTAGTAATATCTCTTTGTGTCTTAACAATGATCCTACTCTGTACCATGTTTTGTATTAAATTGAAAATACTCAACAGGGATGTTAAAATATAGGCCTATGGCCTGGCCACCGTTAGATGTCAACATACATGGATCTAGGGCATTGCTTAACAGCAGCATAAACTCCTAGCTGGATCATACTGTATCTCACAGGTCCCTTCTGATGGGCATGTGGATTGCTTCCCATTTTCATTTAGTAAGCAGAACCAAATGGACCAATTTGATGCCTGTTTCTGTATACGGTTACTTTGGCATGTTTAAGGAAAATGTCTACAGGTGGAATTGCTTGTCAGAAGACAGCAAGATTAATTTTTGTGTGTGTCTTGCTTATGTAGTTCAGGCTGGACTTGAACTCATTATGTAGCCCAAATTGGCCCCAACTGAGGTGGCCGTGTTGCCCGGGCCTCAGAGTGCTGGGATTGCAGGTCGCACCCCATGTTAGTAGCCACAGTGGCTCTGCAGACAGTAGTGACTGTTTGGTTCCTGTTCAAAACAAAAGCAGGTGCTGGTGCAGACCTCCTCACCGCAGCCCCCAGTGCTGGCATCGCAGCTGCTCAGGCTCCCTGGGCACCACCCAGCAGCTGCCTACTGTGTGAAACAGATGGGGAGCCTGAGCCGGCTGTGTTATGGGATCCAGCCCCATTTGAACCGGTACACAAGTAAATGCTATTGCAGAGAAGCAGTCGGAGATGGCTGGCGCCTGCCCTGCTGCAGCACAGGGGCCCTGAGGCCTGCTCTTCCTTCCGCTGAGGACTGGGTGTGAGCAGCCAGGGCCTCAGTCCCATCATTTCCCGAGCACGGCCTGCACCAGGAGCCCACATCCTGACAGTGACCCAGATGAGCCTGGTCCACCCGCCCTGAGTCCTTCTCCCTCTCCCCTCAGCCTTGGAGGTGGCCTGTCACTTGTTCTTTGAGCTGATGGGCAGAAGGTGTTTGCTTTGTGACCGCCTTGCTCCTGCATCGGCCCCTGCTAACCCCCACCCTCCCCACCTGTTCTGCTGCTGCAGGTGCACTTCGGGTTCTGGAAGGTGGCCACTGCCGCTACCCAGAGTCCCTTTTCCTCCTCTGCTCCCTAGAATGGTTTTATACTCCATGCTTGCTGGAGGCCTCTGAACACACCAACTTTGCCAGTGCCCTTCTCCGGACTGCCAGAAAAAGCAAACAGGCTCTGATCTCCTCAGGCTGGGGCTTCTGCAAATTCAGCTCAGCCTGCACTAATTTGGGGCTCAGTAGCTCTTCGGCTGCTGGTACTCAGGGGAGGGCTAAGATGAGACCTGGGGGCCTTTTGAGATGGTAGGGTTCTCTTACTCCCTGCCCCGGCTCAGTGTTTTCTCCTTGCCTGTTCCTTTTTTGACCGCAGAGACTGACAGCTGATAACAACTGGATGGACAGAGGCCCTGAAGTCTTGGCTCTCTTTGGTGCAAGGCTGCTGGGAGGCTAGGAGTCCCTGGACCCAGCCCCAGAAGTAATCTAGAGGAGCACCCTAGGCCATCATGGCCTGCCGGTGGGGTCCCTCAAGTGCTTCCTAAGTCCTCCAGCCTCCCCACCCCGCAGTGTGATCTGCAGCATCTTGTGGGGGTGACTAAGGATCTCAGATACAAAAGGGGGACCTATAAATTTTGTCCTTGTGTCTTTCCCACTGAGCATCAATATCTTTGCTATGGGTGAGCTTTTTATCTCTTTTATGTCACAGAAGTCACTTGCATCTTTAAAACAAGACTTTATTTTTGACAAATGAAGTATTTTCCTAAAAGGACAGAGAGTGAGAGTAGACAGGGCATGGAGTAAAATTCCTTCCCTAGCCCACGGCTTCCCAGCTCCAGAGGAAGCCTCCCCCGTTGCTGGGAATTTTCTCTCTGGAAGCCTTAGTCACAAGCAGCCTCTTGGGGAGGCTGTCACACCAGCTCCATCCCATAACAGATCCAGGGGCCAATGTCCCTGCCACACTAGAGCAAAGCAAAGATGGTGGCTGCATGGCCAACGCCAAGTCCCAGCCCAGCCTGGGAGGAGCACAGGAGCCGAAGGTGGTATCTTTGGTGCAGATTCCTAGTCCTGCAGCACGCTTTGTGGGGAGCCCTGGGGCTCTGGAGCCTTCTCACTAGGACTCTCAGCGTTGAAACCCCAGGGCTCCAACGCGAGGCCCCCAGAAAGAACTTGCAGCAGTTAGAAGCAGGCAGCTTGCGCACGGCAGTGAAATTTCCACCCTTGAGTGTGTCCCTTTCTTTCTCCTTTGTCCAGATGTTGCTCATTCCCGACCTGTGACTTTTGGTAGCGGGCCACCAAAAGCACTGTCTCTGCTCATTTGTAGAACCTGGAATCAACAGTGAGCTGTGAGACCACCTGTTTCCAGGCCAACTGATACTGCATTTCCTGTAACGGAGGCAAAGGCAAAAGAGGATGCCTAAGGCTAAGACTTTTATGTGAGCATGTTTAGGACCCATGTTAGTCATTAAAAAAAAAAAAAAGCTAAAAGAAAAGAAAAGAAAGCTGGGCGTGGTGGCTCACACCTGTAATCCCAGCACTTGGGAGGCTGAGGCAGGATTGTTTTGAGTTCGAGACCAGCCTGGGCTACAAAGTGAGCTCAAGACCAGCCTGAACTGCATAGCGAGACCCTGTCTCAAAAAAAAGAAGAGAAAAAAAAATCCCCTCTCCAACAACAAAGTAGTCCAAAGGACTCAAGCTTCGAATAGTGTTGCTTTCAGCAGGACCAAAACAAGCTGTCCAGAGACGCACAGTAAGGTACCGAGGAGGACTGGGCTGCTGATGGGGAGGTGTTCTCTGGACAGCTAGAGGCCGGGAGCAGTTACCTCAAATTGCAGCTTGCTGAACTCGGGATCAGGCAGGAGACTGCCCATGGGGACATGGGAAGGAACATCAGCAGGTCTGCTTATTATTGTTTTTGCTTGTTTATTTTCATTGCTGGGGAATAAACCCAACACCATTTGCTCAGAGCTACATCTGGAGCTTTTTTTCATTTTTTATCTTGAAACAGGATCTGGTTAAGTGGCTAAGTTTCCCAGACTGAACTTGAACTTTCCATCTTCCTGCCTCAGCTTTTCAGAGTGCTGGGGTTGCAATCCCGTGTCATTATGTCTGCTCTCCTTACATTTTTATCTCAGCCTTTATTATTTTTTATCATTAAAATGCAACCAATAACATCCATAATATACGAAATAGCTCACTGTGCTTAGTGGTGACAATTTTTAGTTCTTTCACGATCAAGGTCCTTAGGAAGATTAGACCCTTGAACTTTACACTTTAATGGTGTTCTCAGGACAGGGGTCTCTTGTGGGATCCTATGCAAAACTGTGCACTTGCACAGGTTCATTTCTCTGAGGCAAACATCCCCAAACTGGTGTCAAATCAGTGAGGGACCAGTTAAGATGAAAAGGCTCATGGCACAGATCTCAGGGGATGCCCAGAGTGAGGCTTGCTCTCCAGGAAAAGTCACCAGGGGAAGACTCTGGATGGCAGTTCCTGAGGGCCTAGCCTTAGACAGTTACCTCTCATTATCTGTTAGGTAGGGGGCAGTTTCTAAATCAACCCAGGAGGTCGAAACTGCACACCATGAATTAATCATTGCAAATCGCCCCTGGCGTACAGCAAGCATCTTCAACAACCCTCTGTAGAAACGCAGTGTAATCCAGCATCGGATAAAGACAGTTAATACAGAAACTACAACTTCACGGGACTTAAAAGCACATTTTGTTTCTTTCTTTTTTTTTTTTTTTATCGGTCCCAGGGATCAAACTCATGACTGCGCGCTTGTGAAGCAGGTGCTTATGCAGCTCAGCTAAATCCCCAGCCCCTCACATTTTGTTTCTTAATGGTTGGACTCCTAGAGTTGAATTGACTTGGCTCTATGCAAGTCTGAGCTTTGACTCCACAGGATGGGGCCACAGGCTCTACAGCGTTCTCAAAGTCTTTGCAAAAGCCAGGAGGTTGGTACTGTCACCTTACTTTATGGATGCAAAATTGGAGGCTCAGAGAGGTGACATCATGCACCCAGTCACGTGATCAGAATTCAAAGCCAAAACTGCCCCTTGCTGGAGCCAGAACCCTTGACACCAGGCCCTGTCGCACCCTTTCATTAAGATGCTATTCTGTCATCCCCTCACATGTTTCCACATGGCTGGGGGTGTTTTCATTTTCTAGAGATGGAGTCCTGCTATGAAGACGTGCAGGCTGGCCTTGAATTCACTATGTAGCTCAAGCTGGCCTCAAAATCTTGGCCATTCTCCTGCCTCAGCCTTGGAGTGCTGGGATTATAGGTGTGCACCACCGCATCTGGCTGGAGTGGAGCTGGGGCTGAGGGTGGTGTGTTCTGAGGATCAGACATGTTAGTCAGGGAAGCAGATATCAAAGTCTGCACTGCTGAAGAAAAGCAAATCCAAGAACACCGGGACAGCCAGGACCTGGGGCCTAACCCTGGAAGGCAGGAGCATTGTAGCCTCTGGCCTCTGGCAGCCTGTGCTTCTGCTGGGGGCTGGCGGGGAGGGGCTTTAAGCCTCAGTCTGCCAGCCCCCTTGGGGCCCAGGAGGGGTAGGAAGCAACAGACAGGATGCTGATGGCTCCTGGTAAAGGACAGGCCTGGCTCCATGGCTCTGTAAAGTGGGGGTGGCGACCTCCCTGCAACCCAGATGCATGAAGCTGTGGGTCGCAGAGGACCTGGTGCTCTGTGTGTTGCAGGCTGACAGCTGTGAGTAGCACAGCTGAGCACAGAATCTCAATTTACACCAAATGTGTTTGCCAAGTGATTACCCAGCATTTTGTTTAAGTCAGCTCTTTCCCTGAACCCTGTCACCCGATGGCTTTATGAAGGTGACATCTGAGGCTGCACGCAGCAGCAGGGGCCCTGAAACCCCTGTCACTCAGGAAAGACAGAACTCACTGTTTGATGAAGCGAAGCCGCGCTCTCCTCCGCAGACCTGGAAGAGCAGAACAAGGGCACTGTCAGTGCAGGGGACCCCGGCACAGGGCCAGGACAGGGGCACACAGGGAAGAGGTCTGGTGGTGGGGGGCTCTGCTGCTACGGCAGACTTCTCCCCAGGCTAGGCTCTGCCCCAGATACTTCCCACATTTTATCCCTTCCCTCGCACTGTAAACCTGTGATTGGGGAATTACTGCTATGTCCATTCCACACTTGGGGAAACTGAGACACACAGGAGCTTCTGAGCCACTCACTCAAACTCATGGGACTAGGAAGCGGTGAAGCAGGAAACCTGACACAGTTACCAGGGTCTGTCGTTAAGCTCGCTCTCCTCCTCACAGCAGGCTGAGGGGAAGCGGGAAGCTCAAAACAGGGCAAGAGTGCCCAGGAGGGATGAGATTTTCCACTGGGACACTGGAAGGAAACATCAGCTATCCACTTACATTTTTTTTTCCCCATTTGCTGGTTTGCAGGGCTTGAGATTGAACCCAAGGCCTTAGCAATGAGTTACATCCAGAGCCCTTTTTCATTTTTTATTTTGAGACAGGATCTGGCTAAATTATTCAGTGGCCCCAGGCTGAGCTTGAGATCCTCCTGCCTCAGCTTCCCAGAATGCTGGATTCACAGAATTGTGCCATCATGTCTGCTCTGCTTACATTTTAATTGCATCTTTTGTTATTTTTCATCTTTAAAATGCAACCAATGACATCCATAATACACTAAATAAACACAGCTAGTTGCAGTTAGCGGTAATAAATTAACAATTTTTAGTTCTTTCACGAATGAGGTCCTTGGAAAAACTGAGATCCTTGAACTTTAATGGTGTTTAATGGTGTTCTTATAACTGGGTACACAGACACCGGTGGGGGGCTTGTATGCAAAACAGTGCATGTGCACGGGTTCATCTCTCTGAGGGCAGGGTCCTCAGTGGTCACCATAGGCCCAAAAGGGCCTGGGACCCCTAAAAGTTAAGAGCCGCTGACCTGGTTCATGGCCCTGTGGGCTCCCTCCCCATTTGTACAGGGGCCAGAGAGGGCTTGTTGCTCAGGTGGTATGGATGGGCAGAAGAGCCAGGGCCTGGGTGTCCCCTCTGCCTGCTTCCTATCCTGGAAGCCATGGCAGGAGGTGTCTCTCTGGAGACTGTCTGGGAGCTATGGGGACACTGCTCACCCCGGCAATCTCCCCCGGGCGTCTGGCCTGAGCTCAGCCTGCGTGGTGACTTCCAGCTCCCCTGGCACACACTGTGGGCTGCACTCTGGATGGGGTGCACCCTACCACACCCCACCTGGGGGAAGCCTCGTGGGCTGATCTTGAGGCCAGGTCATTACTGCGCGGGCGGGGGGGAGGGGGGAGCAGCTTTGTCCAGAGGCAGAGACTGTGGTCTCTGATTGGGGCAGCTGGGTTTTGGGCTGGGAATCACTTCCAGGCCCAGGGTGTCACTCAGGTGTACAGCAGTGTTATTAGCATGTGCGAGACTCTGAGCTCAGTTCCCAACACCTCCCACCAACCCCAAACCCACATAAAATCACTTCCAGACTATCTCTGGTTGGGGGGGACAGGCTTGGAGCAGGCTGTCGTCACCCACTGCGCTCTCCTAGAGAAGAGAGCAGCCCTACGAACACCTAGGACAGCAGATGGGGCCACCGAGGTGGCACAGGGAGGGACAACTCACAGTACAGATGCACAGCCACAACCAGGGACAGCAGCAGGAGCAGGGCACTGGCCACCAGAAGGCCCAGGGTGACGAGGCTGCAGTGCAGGCCTGGAAGACACACCCGTGACACGTGCTTGAGGCTGAACATGTGAGATACAGTGACGGACACAGCAGGGCGGGTCCTGAGGGAGGGGCCACCCAGGGCACCGCCAGGGGCATTTGGCTGCATTTCCTCCCTTGCCACCATATTTTGCCCACTCTGTTCCCTATAACGTGTCTTTTTTTCTTTTCTTTTTTATCTTTTTTGAGACAGGGTTTCACTGTGTACTCTAGGCTGATCTCAGACGTCAGGTGATCCTCCTGCCTCAGCCTCCTGAATGCTGGGATTACAGGTGTGTGCCACCATGCCTGGGTTCTGTGGCTTTTCTTGATGCCCATAGCTTGGGGCAGGTAAAAGCTGACAGTGCAGCCAAGGAGTTTCAGGCTTCTGGGCTGTTAGTCTTGGGGACTTCAAAGTGCTGTGGCCGGTGGTTCCCTAGCAGAGTGTGGCTGGATATGGCTGCCTACCTGGATGTCTTTGTAATCAAAGTTCTTTCCTGCCAGGCATGGTCAGTTTTTTTAGACAGAGTCTCACTATATAGCCCAGACTGGTCACAAGCTCATAGTGATCCTCCTGCCTCAGCCTCCCAAGGGCTGGGATTGTAAGTGTTTACCACCACACCTGGCAGGACAGGAACTTTGGTTACGCAGACAGCCAAGTGTGCAGCTGTCCCGAGCTGTACTCTGCCAGGGAGCCGAAACACCTGTGCGACCTTCGTATTTTGCGGGCCACAGCAATAGTGCTCCTCCAATGTGAGACCCTGGCTTCTTTTTAGGGGCACGGCTGCTCAGACACCCACTCACACATGCACCCTGTTAATTCATAGCCCTGTGCTGCTGTGAATATCCTTCTCAGGCCTTCTCGTGGGCACTTTAGACATCAGGGAGACAATTTTATGCAAAAAAAAAATCATGTCTCACATCCAAATTTTAAAAAATTAATTAAGCTCAGAAGTTATTTGTATTCCAAGGAGGTGGACAATGAAATATTCTTTTAACTACTTATTAAAAAATTTATTTAAATTTTACAAAAACTGCAAGAGATGGAGGGGGTAGGTGGGAGAGAAAGGTGACATAAAAGGAGCTAAGATATATTATGTACCTGTATCAGCTCCCTACTATGAATGTAATCATTGCCTACTGCAAACATGTACTTATAAAAATTGAAAAATAAAAATCGTAAGAATTTGCTGGGTGTGATGCCACATGCCTACCATTCCAGCAAGTAGGAGGCGGAGGCAGGAGGATTGTCAAGAGTTCAAGGCCAGCCTAAACTATGCAGGGAGACCCTGTCTTACAAAATTAAAAACAAAAACCAAAACCAGACAACCCTTCAGAGAACAGGGAACATCATGGTGTCTTCCCATACGAGAGTGCCTTCCAGTGGCAGATACTAAATTTTTGAGTTTTCACATATACGGATATAGCTGAGTTTTGTTGGGCTCAGTGGGAGTCCAGTACATGCAGAGGCAGATACTGAAAACAGAACTGTCCAGCCATAGCTTTGTGCGCTTCAGATTGTAACAGACACTGGCCAGTGCCTCCCAAAAAGAGAGCACCGATTTCCACTCCTGCCAGTGCACCGCACCCCTTAACACAGGCCCTGAATATCACCCGCTTTTTAGTTTTCCCAGTCTGCAGGTGTGTGTGTGTGTGTGTGTGTGTGTGTGCGCGCGTGCATGTATGTGTTTTGCTTCCATCCTCTGATCGTGCGTGAGGCTCGGCCTACTGCACGCATTGGCACCTGTGTGCTGTTTCTCCTGCTCCTTTGCCCACTTGCATGCTAACAAGCGGCAGGGTTTACATTCTCAGCGCCCTGATCCTCGCCCTCTGGTCTGCAGGCTCCTGTGAGCGCCCACTGGGCAGCTGAGGTGCAGAGCCAGGGATGAGGCTACAGTCTGGAAAAAGCATTTCAGACGCTCAGGAGGGAGACAGAGTGTTTCACGGAGTCCTCCTGATGAGCCCAGGACCACTGGCTGCAGACTTTCATCTTGAGAGGAAGGAAGGAAGGTCTTACCGCTATTTTTTCTCTCTCACTTTGCAGTTCATAAACATTGAGGCTCAAAGGTGCTCTGCCTGGCTCCGCTCACTGTCTCTGAGTTCCTCCAGCTTGAATGACCCGAGGATCGGGGGTTTGTGGTGGCTGAGGCTGGGGTGGGGATGGAGGCCAGCTGCAGACATGCTGGCGACAGGGTGTCCTAAACCTACATTGTGGTGATGGCCACATGAACTATGCATTCACTAAAGCTCACTGAGGCTCTATCCTGAGAATGGGCAGAGTTTATGCTATGCAAATTATCACTCCACAAAATTCAGAAGATGATAGCAATGGCCACGGGGCAGCAGGGACCCCTCCTTCCAAGGAGAGGCCAGGATGGAGCTGGAGGCCGTCGAGAGCACTGCAGGTCCTTTATTCTAACTGATTTCACTAGCTTCTCCTGCAGCCTCATCTTGATGACCTGACTGTATTTGTATTTTATATCTTTTTAAATTGTAGCATAGCTGGGTGTGGTAGCACACGCCTGTAATCCCAGCACTCAGAAGGCTGAGGCAGGAGGATTGCTGAGAGTTGGAGACCAACCTGAGCTACAAAGTGAGTTTAAGGCGAGACCATGTCTCTCTCTTTCTCTCTCTCTCTCTCTCTCTCACTCACACACACACACACACACACACACATACACACACACAATTGTAGCCTGCCTGCAAACCTTCAGGTCAAGTTGTTGGGTCATAATATGTTATAAAACAAGGTCACTTTGCTTTTCTGTTCATTGGCTCTAATTTTCTCTCTATGTGTGTCTCTCTCTGTCTCTCCTTGTCCTGGGGATTGAACCACTAAGCATTAAGCTACATGCCCAGACATTTTTTATATTTTATTTTGAGGCAGGGTCTCACTGAGTTGCCCAAACTGGGCTTAAAGGTTCAATCCTGCCGCAGCCTCCCAAGTGCTTCCCAGCCTCCTGTTTGCCATGACCTCCTGTGGCAGCCTCTCATCCTCATCGCCCAGGTCCTGGGGGGTACCCTCCCAGATGCTTCCTGGTCTCTTACATTTGAAGACTCAGCCACCGAGTGGCACAAGGCAGGCCCGGGGCTGCTGCCTGTGGTTTCTTCTCTGGGGAGCAGCGAATGGTACTTTCTGTTTGTCACAAGTAGCCTTGCGGGGGTTGAAGTCAGTGTTTTTCCAGAAACACATCGGAGCTGGTGAGCTCAAGGGAAATACGTGTCCGTGTACACATGTGTGCATGGGTGTGCGTGTATGTGCCCACCCTACCCGGGTGCTTACAGTGCAGGGGGCAGGTCTTCGAGCTCCTTGGCAAATGTCTAGGGACCCCGTCCTGTTTGCCACAAGTTCTGGGAGGCAGCAGCACTGGAAAAATGTAAAGCACTGCTCCTTTGGGTTGATTTTTTTTGTTTATTACCAGCTGTACTGAGATAGATTTGCATATAATAAAGTCTACCTGTTTGGAGCATACACTGTCATGGTTTTTAGTATCATCCTAACAATGTGGAACCATCACCACAATCTAACTTTAGAATATTTATACCACTCCGGAAATACCCCTGGAGCAACCAGGGTCACTTTCATCCCTCCCCAGTATCCCTTCTGGCCAGGCAGCCACTCATCTGCTTTCGGTCTCTATGGAAGCTTCTACTCTGAACATTTCATGTCCACGGAATCATGCAGCATCTTTTTCTTGCAGTACTGGGAAGTCAACCCAGAGCCTTCCCACTGAGCTATGTCCCTCTTCCTTATTTAAAAGGAATTATTTTGAGATGGGATCTTACTAAACTGATGTCCAGGTGGGAGGCTGATCTTGCAGTCCTCCTGCCTCAGCCTCCCAGGGTTGGGATTACAGGTGTGCCTCACCATTCTCAGCTTCATACGATATTATCTGTGACTGGCCTCTTTCACTGCATAACAGTCCACAGGTTCAACCAAGCTTTAATGTTTTCTAGTGCTTTATTCTCTGTTATGGCCAAGTAACACAGCTGTACTGTTATGGATCGCACATTTCCTTGATCCATTCATGAGTCATCGGTGGCTTCTGATTTCTACTTTTCAGCTGTTAGGACAAGCTGCTGTGAATCACCGTGCTCAGGCGTTTTGATGGATGGATCCTCCTCCAAGATTTGCTCTGTGATGACTTGCAAATCTGACCCTAGTGGCCTGTGATGTGTCCCTTCTGATCCCAGCATGGTGCTGGAGGAACGGGCTACAGACTCCGCACTGAACCAGCACATTCAGAAGGAGCAGGAACTCACCTTTCTGGGGCCCTGGACTGGGGGGCTGACACTTTTTCTTCTTGGGAGTCGTCTTCGTGGTGGGCTGGGCCGTGGTGGGCAGGACATCAACTGTAGGAAGAGCAGATGCACATCTAAGCCCCAGGTTAGCCACCAACTGCACCTTCCACCCTGGTGCCATGGTCCTGAGACCCATCGTTCCCTTGACCACCAGATTCCCAGCCCTCATGCCACCTGCCATACCCAAGGAGGAACCCAAAAAGAAGAAGAGGGGGAGCTCTTTCTTTCTTTCTTTTTTTTTTTTTTTGGTCATTTTCTCTTTTTATCGGTATTGGGGACCGAACTCACAACTGCCTGCTTGCAAGGCAGGTGCTTATGCCACTGAGCTAAATCCCCAGCCCCTGGGAGAGCTCTTTCTTCGCTGCAGTACCATGCAGGGTGCCAGACGGGCTGTTTCCCTTTTCAGGTGTCCTTAAAAACTTACCACCCAGAACTTTCTTGGGGAAACAAGTGGGTGCAAGCCCATTAACCAGCACTAAGGAGGCTGAGGCAGGAGGATCACAAGTTTGATCTCAACCTAGGTGATTCACTGATTTAGGGAGACCCTGTCTCAAAGTTTAAAAGGAGTGGTGTGAGTGTACAAGAGTACTGGGTTCAGTCCCAGTACTGAAAATAAAAGATCATCTGATATAGAGCTGGAGGGGCCTCCAGGCTCAGGTTTGGATTTCAAAGGTACAGAGCAGAGGTGAGAAGGTTGGAACGCAGGGCCTCTCCTTTCCTGGGCACCCCCTCCTTCGGTCGCCCTGAACCAGTGTCCTATGCTGAGGGCTGGGGAAGGTGAGGGGTGCAGCATGCAGAGCAAAAGGATCCCCACCCTGGGGTCTGAGTGAGCTGTGGGTGCACAGCACACGCCCTGCAGTCCTTGCCGAGCTAAGGACACAGCTCGAGAAATGAGTTCTGGCAAAGCAGCGGGAGAAGAAACGCAGAACTGAACCTCTAGAACCCCGGGACAGGAGAGGCAGGCAGCGCACTGGTCATCTCGGGCTGGCGTCTTCCATTTCCTAAGTGGACGCTTTGGCCAGGTGCAGGGGTGCATGCCTATAATCCCAGCAGCTCGGGAGGCCGAGGCAGGAGGACTGCTGTATGTTTGGGGCCAGCCCAGGCTACTCAATGAATTTAAGACCAGCCTGGACTACATAGCAAGACCCAAGATAGACACCTTGCCCTTGTCCCCAGAGCCGTCTCGGGGTGGTGAGAGACACCATGGTCTCGAGTAGACTTGGCTGGCTTCATGGCTCTTTCTGGGAAAAACCAAGGAACTAGAATGAAGACATATTGAGCTCCCAGTGGGGAGGTGGCAGCGCCAAGCCCTTCAGCCTCAGCTTGCAGACCTCGACAACTTCTGGCACGGGCCCTGCCGTTGCAGTTTTATCCACAAGGAGAGCTGGGCTCAGAGGGTTGAAATAGCTCCCAACTCACAGTTGGGATCTGAACCCAAAGGCTTTTTCTACCCGGTGCTGCCCATTTTCCACTGTACCCCTAGTGAAAAATTTCTGACGAGGTTACACATGGGAGGTGGCCATCGGGAAGCTGAGGAACCACGGTGAGGGGCAGGTGACACCAGCTAAGGCTCTGAGCGTGCCGGGAGCCCGTCCCCACTAGGGGGGGTCACTCGAATGCTGCTCACAGCCCCAGAATGCTTCTGCTTGCCTCATTTATTTCATTTTATTTTTTTGAGAGAGGGTCTCACTGTGTGGCCCAAGCTGGCCTCCAACTCACTGAGATCCTCCTTCCTCAGCCTCCCAAGTGCTGGGGTTAGAGGTGTGCGGCCAGCTTCGCTGCTTCATTTAATCCTGAGAGAAGCAGGCGGTCTCTCCCCTGCTCAGGGATGGGCCTCCAGGAGCAGCAAGCCAGCTCTCAGCACCTTGACTCAGTGGCTCAGGTCTGGTGGGGCTCACGGGGTGTGGGGCATTCTGGTTTATTTGTTTGTTTTTGTGTCCCTCTCCCCACCATGGGGGATCGAACCCAGAGCCTTCTCATCAAGGACCACTCCAGCCCTTTTAAAACCATGAGACAGGATCTTGCTAAGTCACTAACTTGCCCAGATAGACTCCAATTTGTGACTCTCCTGCCTCAGCCTCCCAGGGTGCTGGGATTATGGATATTCAGATATATTCTGGGTGGGTTTACCATGCCCAGCCTGGTGCTCAATTATAAATGCATCTCAGCTGTTGTCAGGTCCCCTTGCTTCCTCCTGACTCCCTCTCTGTTCTTAAAAGGGACAGTGCGTCTACCTCCATCCCCAGCCCGGAGACGGGATGGTTGTGAGCGGTGGCTCTGGGGAGGTGCAGTGCTGTTACAGGTGCCAGCAAGGTGCAGGGCCCATAGGGGTTTGGGAACACGGAATCCAGGAGTGAGTGCTGGGCAGGGCGGCGAGGCGGGGAGAAGATGGGGAAACCCAGCCAAGCTTATTTGCGGACTTGCCCTGTGGGGTCCCAGGGAAGATGTGGGGCTTTAAAGACAAAAAAGCAGCAAACTCAACACACACCCCAAGGCCTGAGTTTTGGTACAAGAACCAGTGGGGTCTTACCCAGAGGGACCCCCAATTCCCATGCCCCACGATGCGATGCAATGCCATGCGATGTGAGCCCTGGCACTGCCGAGAGGAGACACAGCCACTGTTCTCCCTTCTGTCTCCCTCACTGTAGCGCTGCCCCTGGTGTCCCAAAGTTTCCCCATGCTGAGTGGTCTCATTTCTGGGTTCCCTTTGGCCCGCTCAGCGTCCCCACATGGGGAAGAAGTGCAGCTTGAGGCCCGACCATGGGTGAAGCTGGGGAAGGGGCTGTAGCCCGATGGCCCAGTGTGGCCTGGGGGATTTTGCCACAAGCTCTTCCTACCCTCGACTGTGCAGTGTGGCAGCCACCTGCCACAGGTGTGCACATGCGGTGTGGCCAGGCTGGACACATTGGGTGCATTGGATGAATAAAATACACATCAAATACTTAGTATGAAACAGGAAGCTGGGCATGGGGGTGCACACTTATAATTCCAGCAGCTTGGGAGGCTGAGGCAGGAGGATCGCCACAGGTTGGAGGTCAGCCTGGGCTACACAGTGAGTTCAAGGCCAGCCGGAACTATGTAGTGAGACTCTCTCAACAAAACAAAATAAAACAACCCAAAACCAAACTGCCAACAATAATTTAAATAAATAAAATGGGAGTCATAGCATACTCCGTGCTGGGGAAGGTGCAGGCATTGAGATGGCCATGGAAAGCATTTGCAGGTATGTGGCTGGGTGACCCTCAGCACCCTCTTCCTGTTATTCCAGCAACAACACTGTAGGTGCTGACGGCAGAGCAGCCCCAGTGCTGGGTATGCACCTGGCACCCGGTAGATGCCAACGCTCATTTTTTCTTTAACATGAAAAAAAAAAAGCTTTTTGAGACAGGCTCTTACTGTGTTTCTTGTTGAGATGGGCTTTGGTCAAATGTAGCCCAGGTTGACCTGGAGCTCGTGACGATCCTCCCGCCTCAGCCTTCTGAGTACTGGGGGGTGGGGGATAGGCATAAGCCACCACGCCTGGCTTTCTATGCCCATTTCTAGCATAGATCCCCGCGCTTACCCACACTCAGGTTGGTTCCCATCCCGAAGGTCAGCTCGGGGTGCCCTATGGTCATGCAGAAGTAGACGCCGCTGTCCTCAGGCTTCACGTGTTTGAGACTGAGAGTGAAGCGGGTGGAAAGCCGAGACAGAGTGAGCATCTCTGAGGTCATACCCCTGCCATAGACGATGTTGTTGGAGAAATCCCCAGAAGCCAGGAACTCGTGGTGACTGTCCGGGCTGGGCGCCCCACGCTGCCTCAGCCAGTAGAGACGGCCATTGATCGAGCTGGTCTTACTCTCGCAGGTCATAGTTGCCGATTGGTTGGTCTGGAGCATCAGGAAGTGGGGGCTCTGCTGGAGGCCACAGATGCCCCGGAGAGCTGCAAACAGAAGCCGAGGGGGTCAGGGACCGGCAGGGTTCCCAGCTGCTGGTGGCAGGGCTGGGGGGGGGGGGTGTTATAGGGACTCAGAGCTCATGCATCACATCTCCCAGGGGCCCTGAGCAAGACTTGCCCTGTCCAGCTTGTGTTTGTGTGTGCACCCTTAGACACCTGCCCTTTGCTTAAATGACCTCAGCCATGCCTCAAGCTGGCTTTTGGATTTTTCTTTCTTTTTTTTGTGGTACATACTGTGATACTGAACTTAGTGTCTTTATACTAAGCTCCATCCCTAGCCTTTTTCCTATTTTTTTATTTCGAGGCATGTTCTGAGTTGTTAAATTGCCCAGTCTGAGCTTGGACTCAAAATCCTCTGTCTCAGCCTCTCAGAGTGCTGGACTGCCAGGAGTCCACTATGTCCAGCAGGTTTGGAGATTTTTATGCCTATTAATCAGACGAGAAAACTCAGGCTTGAAGTTACTTGCTCAGACTCCCACTTGCAGCCAAGAAGTGATCCGGGATTCAAACTCTGGGACCCAACATCTGAAGCCAAAGCTGGTTGCCTTTTTTCACCTGTCAGAGCTGCCACTCCACACAGGCTGGGCTCGGAGCAGCTGACCGAGACCCAGGGCAAGCTAGAGAGGGCTTGGAGTCCCAGGCAGGACACACAGCTGGTCTAGACAACCTAAAAGAGGACCAGTCACCTTGTCCCGTAAAAGGAGCTGGCTGTGTCTGGTAGGCAGAATTGGAGCCCATCAATCCCCACCCCAGGATGCGGTGCATCCTTGATCACTGGGTCCCCACTCCCCAGCAGAAGGACAGCTACCCTGGGAGCAGGGCTGCAAGGTGGAAGCTCCCCGCAGGCAGGGGCTTGGCCATGAAGAACCGGACAAGAGTCACAGGCCCGGCCTCGATCCCACCCTCTACTCTACACCCCAGTGATCTCAGTCAGGTCATGGGGACTCTGCCTCCTCGCTGGGAGAGGCGGGCAGCTGGGTGATGCCCTGCTTCCCTTGTTTTGAAAGAAATGAAAGGACATCGGGTGATCCCAGCCCTCTGGGAGGGGAACGCAGGAGGGTGGCAAGTTCAAGTCCAGCCTGGGCAACCGAACAATGTAGCAAGACCCGGTCTCAGGAAACAAAAGGTCAGACGGGCGGGCGGGGAGGGCTGGGGCTGCAGCTCGGTATTAAGGCCCTGGGTTCAGTGTCTAGTACTGAAGAAAAAGGAAGAGAAAGAAAGAAGGGAAATGAAAGGAGGCCTAGCAAATCACACTGCAAACTAAGGCACTGCACACAGGTAAACCCTGCTCAGGGGCCTCAAGGCTTGGACTGGGAGTTGCTCCCAGCCCCAAATGAAACCTCTGAGAGAAGCCTCAGAAAGGGTCACCCATATTGCCAAGGATGCACAGCCTCCAACAAACCCCACGTGCCTGGCCAGCCTTTTCTTTTGGCTCAGAGCAGAGAGGCATAAAGAAGGCCAGGGGTGTGTTTCCTGAGCTGGCGGCCGGCATGTTGTCCTGTCCTGGTGTCCCACCCAGCTCAGTTAAGGCCCTGGGTTCAGTTTCTAGTGGGACCTAGGATGTGGCTCAAAGCTTGTGATTCCACAGCTCCAGCCACCCATCCTCTCCTCACCTTGAGAAGGGATCTGTGCCATTTGGCAGCGCTGCTGGGCCTCCTCCTTTCTCCCCCAAGGCTACCGTCCTGGGTCACCGACCTCCAGGGGAGTTCATAGGAGCCAGGAGGGCAGCATTGATACATGGAGCTGGGCCGGGCGTGGTGCCTGCATTGTGCCATTCAGTCCTCACCAAACCTCTCAGGATACAAACTGTCTTACACCATCTTACGCAGGAGGAAACAGAGGCTCGGGAAGAGTGAGAAGGCACCCAAGGTCACACGGTGCGGGTGTAGCGGACTCAGTTTCACCCAGCTGTGGACTGGGTGCCTGGCTTGGAGCTGTGAACCGGCGAGACCCACCATCTCTCCTGGCTCTCGAGGGCCCTGCTGGCACAGAGCAGCTGCAGACCCGGATTCGGGAAGCCTGTCCGAGGAAGCCCAGCAGCGGCTCCCCAGCGGCCAGCCAGGAGCTGTGTCCACATCCCCTCCCGGCTGAGACCTCCCCTGGCCTCCTTCTCTGTAAGGTCCACGCTGCATAGCAGCCCAGAGCGCCCTGCTGACCAGAGACCTGGTGTCCGGCTGCAGTACCAACGCTTCCCGGAAGTAAAACAAAGCGGGGCCCAGTGTGGGGTTCACCCAGGGTGGGGGAGCCTTCCTGAGGCGCGTAGCTGTGGGCACCCTGGATTAAGGCACTGTTTCTTCTGCCCTGGGTATTTCCTCTCCCCTTTTCACTTCCTTCCCTCTCTGTTTTTCCTGCCTCCCCTTCGCCCCCTTCCGAGGTGGCCTGGTGCTGGGGCTCTCGGATTTCTGAGCAGTGGCCCCCGCTGGAGTTCCCTCTCCATTTTCGGGAACCAAGCCTGCCCAATCACCTCCCCGTGTGCCTGCCACTGGCCTCTGGTCTCTGCATTATCTATTATTTGTTTCCTCCAAATAGTCTCAAGAAGCGGTTGAGGCTGGTCTCCAGTTCGCGGCGATGCTCCTGTCTCAGCCTCCCGAGGTCTGGCTACACGCCTGCTGCTCCAGTTCCCGCTCGCTCGGTCCCGCGCGGTCCGTCACCCACCCAGCGCCCCCGCCGCCCGAGTCCCCCCGGCCTCACCTGCGAGCTTCGCGGCCACGAGGAGCCACAGCCGCGGCTGCATCTCGGCGCCCGGGTCACCCTTCGCTGGCGGGCGCGCGGCGCCTCGGGGCTGGGTGAGGAGGGGCGGGGTGGCCGGGGCGGGCGGGGCGCACAGGACCCGCCCTCCTCTGCCCGGCGGCCCCGGGGCCCGGGCGGAGCCCACCGCGACCCCAGCTTCCGGATGAGGAGGAGAGCGCGCCGGTGCCCCGGGGTGGCCTGGCTGGTGACAGCTGGGGACACCGGGGCGCTGCAGGTCCCACGGTCGCCGGCGGAGGGGCGCGGGCTCCGGGGGTGGGGACGCGGTGGTAGGGTTCTGGAAGCTGGGGCGCCCCCCACCCCGAGGGCGCCGGCGGGGTGGAGGTGGGGAGCTGCGCCGCAGCCTGCGGGAAATCCAGGCTGCGCTGGGTGGTGAGCCCGCAGGGGTGCAGAGCTGGGGTGAACCGTCCAGCGGTAGAGGGCAGAGGGTCTGCAGGGTAGGGGCCTGCGGAGGTCGCCTGTGTGGCCGAGGACGCGGGGCAGGTGCATCTGAGCTTGGGGGGATGAGTGTCCCCAAGGTTTAAAACAGGCAAGGGAGCAGGACACTGTCGCCTCCAGCGTCCTCGTCCCGTGTCCTTTCCAGCCCACTCCTGTCCTTGACTGACTGCTGACGGCGTGGCTGAACTGAGTATGGAGCGCAGAGGGACTGGGGCGCTGGAGGAAGGGGGCCCTGGCCGCTCCCAGGGTGGTCTCAGGAGAGGTACAGGGCCTCGGAGCCCCGGGAAACCACGCAAGAGTGTTTCTAAAAAGTCGAGGTGAAATTCACTTAAAGTAAGCATTTTTTAAAAATCGAAGCGAAAGTACTCACTAGAAAACAGTGAACACCGAACCGATCGTGAACGCACATTTTCTACACAAAGCTTTTACAATTAGGACGGCAAAATACCGGTCCCAACGACAGAAGAATAATACATGCAGGAACATGGCGTTTGTGTTTTTTGTTTTGTTCTTTTATTCCTCTGATATCTTTCTCTACAAAATAAACCTTAGAGTAGTGTACAGTGTAACTGGGCATGGTGGTGCATACCTATGATTCCAGCACTCCGGAGGCTGAGGCCGGAGGATCGCCACAGGTTCAGGGCAGCCTGGGCTACATAGTGAGACCCTGTCTCAAAGAGCCAAAATAAATAAATAAATAGTACAGTGCACTGGTAAATAATACATTCACAATGCTGTATAGCCACCACATCTATCTACTTTTAAAACATTTTCCAAAACAAACAATCATTTCCCCCAAATAATTTTTTTTACCTACTACAGCCACTGACTCCCTGTTACCCCCACACCCCAGCCAGATCCTGGCAGCCATCTGTGTGCTGTGTCTTTGATTTCTTGGTTCTGGATATTTCTCCTCTCCTCTCCTCTCCTCTCCTCTCCTCTCCTCTCCTCTCCTCTCCTCTCCTCTCCTCTCCCTTCCCCCTGTTTCTCTGTCTGTCTGTCTGTCTGTCTGTCTGTCTCTCTCTCTCTGTTTTCTTTCTTGTATTTTTGAGACAGGATCTCACTAGGCGGTCCAGGCTGGCCTTGACCTCACTTTGTAGGCCATGCTGGCCTCAAACTCACACTAATCCTCCTGCCTCAGCCACTTGAGTGCTGGGATTACAGGTGTCTGCCACCACGCCCATATTGGATTTTTCTTTTCTTTTGCCCTTTGTCCCCCTCCCTTCTTTTCCAGTGCTAGGGATTGAACATAGGGCCTTTGCACTGAGCTACAACTTCAGCCCTTTGTATTTGTCTTATTTTGAGAAAAGATCTCATTGAGTTGCTCAGTTAGTTGCCCAGGCTTGGCTCTACACATGATCCTCCTGACTCAGCCTCCAAGAGCACTGGGATTACAAGTATGTGGCCTTTAGTAAATGTCTTCTTTCACTAAGTGTAATGTTTCAAAGTTCATGTGTGTTGCAGTGCTAAGTCAGCCTCTTTACTGTTGAGTAGCATTCTGTGGTCCGTACGTACCGCATTTGGTTTGTCTACTGATGGACCTCTGGGTCAGCGATTGTGGCTGCCTTGTGGCTATTGTGTGCAGTGCTGCTAAACTCAGCCATGTCCAGATATGCATCCAAGCCTTTGTTTTCAGTGTTTTCCAGAACATACACCTAAGAGTGGAATTTCTGGGTCACATAGGAGCTCGATGTAATGTCTTGAGAAGCGGCTTAACTGCTTTCCACAGCAGCGGTGCCATGTTACATGGCCACCAACCACCTCAAAGGGTGCCAGTCTCTCCGTGTTAGGATCCTGAATCCCCTGCAGTCCTCACTAGCACGTGCTACTTTTGTTTTTGCATCCATGCTAGTTTGGGTGTGAAGTGGCATCTCATTGGGGTTTCCATGGCAATTCCATAATGAATAATGATGGGAAGCATCGCCTGGACTTCTTGTATTCTTAGTGTATCTGAGCTATTTATCGTGTAGAAAATACATCCCGGGTCTTTCTACCAACTCACGGGTTCCTGAGCACGGCTTTCTCACTGAATAACTAAATTATTGTCAAGGTGTTGCTTAAAATCACAGAGAGGGACCTCCCGGATGCAGTTGTTACAGAAATGCTTGCTCTTCTGACAAATTACCGGCCACATCTTAGAGCTTTCACTCACTACACTGCATAGGGTTGTTCTGTGCCATTCACAGGCAGTGAGCGGACCAGGGCAAGAGGCCTTCTCCCCTCTACTCTGCAGGGGTTCAGCCCCTTCTGTGATGTGGTCCCCTGTCTTTAAACCCTGGCTCTGGGAGAGAGAGAAAGGGGTGTCTTTGTGGGAGTGGTCACTGGGCTTGCAGGGATGAGGACCAGGCCTGAAAGTGTCCAGTTTGCAGTGGCCTGAGCTCAGGCGTGTGGACCCCGCCAAACAGTAGGGTGTTGGAAATGGAGATTAGTCGGATCCTCAGGAGGAAAGGGAATACACAGCGTCCTCCAGAGTCCACCCTGGGAGCGGCCAGGGCCCCCTTCCTCCAGTGCCCCATACCCATACTCTGCGCTCCATACCGTCAGCAGTCAGTCAAGGACAGGAGTGGGCTGGAAAGGACACGGGACGATTTATGTTTGCTGATTTATTTTGAACTTACATGTGTGGGTGACACAGTCGGTCTTACCTGTGTTTCATCTCACAGGTGTCATCATAAAGAGCTGTTTGGTAAACGGTGTCATCATAAAGAGCTGTTTGGTAAACGGTGCAGGTCTGCAGAGGTCGAGCTGGCAGATTAGCCAGGGTTGGGACCTGCTGCAGTTGCGGACCTCGACCCATAGGGTGCGCCCTTGAGACGCCCTTTCTTCGCCGAAGAAATCAGCTTGTGAGCAAAGCAGAGGGTAACTCCCAGGTAGAACGCACGCATGTGGAAGGCCTGGGGTTCAATCCCTAGCGCCACATAAATAACACACATATAAATAAATATTCCGCAACAAAATCAGAGAAGCGTCTAGAACATAAACTGAATTTTGATCAGTCGCTCAGATAATATTTGGGACGATATGAAATAAAAGCTTCTTTTTTTGAGTTGGTGTTCATTTTCCGCTTGGAAATCTCACATTTAGTTCTAAACCAAATCAAAGCGAAGCAGCCTAGGTCGTTTTTTCTAGACTTCTTAGGAAAAAAACTGCAAATATCAAACCGACCTCATCAAAGGGAACCCAGATCCTGGACGAAAGGGTTATTGGTTCCATTATGACCCACCAGAGAAATGAAAGTAAGCCCCCTCCCACTCAGAAGTCGTGTCAGGTGCAGCGCAGCGCGAACAGTCTTTGGAAAGTTTGTTTCCGAGTTGGAGAGCAGGCCAGGGAACTGCTTGGCCTCTCAGCTCCTGATCGAAAGTCAGTAATCCACCTTTCTAATTCCAAAGTCAGCATAGGAGCCCTTCCACCTTCCTGAAGGCAAGCTGTCTGTCTCTGTCTTTTTCTTCCTCTCTGTCTGTGTCTATGTCTGTCTCTGTCTCTGTCTCTTTCCTGGTACTAGGAGTTGAAACCAGGGCCTGGCACATGCTAGGCAGGCACTCTACCACTGAACACTGGCTATCTTCTTTAAAAAATTAATTTTATTTTAATATTTGTATTAAAAAGGTTGAAAAATATAGAAAAGAATACCCAAGGTTTAAAAAGTTAAATAAAGATGAGTCCCTTTTCTGATGCTCCTACCAATTCTAAATAGCAATGTGTCTCTTGTAAACAAAGAAATCACTAACACAAAAGGGTGTCCTCCAATACTTTCAACATTATAATGGCACATTTAACAGGCCTGGCCAGGGGTTGGCAAACTCTTCCCTTCTCTCTCATTAATTCATATTCATATTCATATGCTCTTTCTCCCGAAGATTAGACCCAGAGAACATGGAGTTACACCTATAGCACTTCTTATTTTTAGACAGAAACTCCAGGTGTCCAGGCTGACCTCTGCCATCTTCCTGTCTCAGCTTCCCAGGTACCTAGAATTAAATGTGTGCACCTAGGTGTCTGACCAAATTCTTTCTTAAAGGGCCAGACCTTTACTTTGCAGGTCAATATCTGTAGTTAACAGTCTGGTGCAAAAGCACGGGTATGGCTATGTCCCAATAAAACTTTATTCACAAAAACACATAGCAAGCCTAACTTGGTCCCCGCAGAATTTAGCTTGCTAGCCTCTTACATCCTCCGGGATGTTCCTGACTTGTTATTTACTATTAAGGTTCAGGTTGCGTGCATTTGAATGTTATTTAAAAGGCAAAAAACTTGTAAGTGCTCTTTATTTGATAGACATGGAAATTTTTTGATCTAACAGAAAAGCTGATCTCAAGGTTATGGTATTGTCCACAAGACAGCAACCATTTTTATATCTAAATTGACAAATTTATTTCAATGTAAACTATTTCTCAAATATGTTTTTAGACTAATTTTGCCATTCTGCTTGATCTTTTCCTTCTTTGTACCCAAAAGCAAGAGCAGACAGAAGGAATGTGAGGATATGAAGTGCTTGGAGTGCGGGGTGTTATTCATGAATCTGGTTTTGCTCAGAGTTGTAGCCAATGGGAAATCTACTTCTCTGCCTATGTGTACAACTATCTACAGTAACGGATCAGCAATGACACCTACATACACGCATGAATGTGCATTTTTATTGTT